CTGGCAGTTCAAACCCACAGAGAAAGATGGATGATCTTCCCATGGCTGGGGAGTGGCTGGGTCGGTTCAAACTGCCAACCTTTTGGTGAGTAGTCAAGTGCTTAGCTTGCACCACCAATCTCCTTGTTCTTCAGACAGGCTTTTCCCAGGTGCAACCCATGGCTCTGTATCAGATCCGCCCAGGGACTTGGATGACTTTTTCCATCAATGTCCTTCAGGTTTCTGAACAAATGGTACCTCCTCAGGAAGCTTCTCTTGACATTTTAGTTTGCTTGGCTCCCCAGTCAACACTCTTGGCACCAGCAGCCAGGAAATTAAAAGACTTATTACAATGGGAAAGTCTGCTGTTAGGGACCTTTACAAAGTACTAAAGAGCAGTGGTGTCACTCTGGAGACTAAGGTGTGCCTGATATAGGCCATGGTCTTTGCAATCAGTTGTTATGTGTCAGAGAGCTAGACAATGACTAGAGAGGATAGAAGGAGAATTGATGCCTTTGAGCTGTGGTGCTGGAGACGAGTATTGAATGTACCATAGACAGCTAAGAAAACAAACTGGTTCAACCAGGAGAGGGTTAAACCAGGCTGCTCCTTCTGAACCTTCATCTGACATACTTTGGACATGTTGCAAGGAGGGACCAGTCCTTGGAGAGAGGGATGTCATGCTTGGGAGGGAGGAGGGACAGCACAGGAGAGGAAGACCCTCTATGAGGTGATTTGATTCAGAGACTAGGGTAATCAGGGTGGGTGTGTCGGAGACAGATTCGCACAGGATAGAGCAGGGTTTAGAGCTGTTGTACATAGGGGAGCTATGAGTCGCAAGCGACTCGACAGCACATAACAACCTTTCCTTTATGGCACTTAAGTTATCCCTTATCCCTTGCCATCTTGTACCATTGGTTCTCTATTTTCTGTATTTTTCACCTACTGTATAATCTCAGGATAATGGAGATTTGTGAGGAACATAGTCCTCAGAAAAATTAACTATACCAGGTGACAAGGCAGGAAAGATTGTCAAAACCCTGCAGAAAAGGCTATAGTATTCAAAATACTTCTGTTTTTCTATTTCATTCAAAATGCTTTTCATAACTGAAAACCTAGTTTTCAGTTTTTGACAAGTAAATCAAAGCATTCTAAGTCTGTGTGCTCAGACTTGACTTTGTGATTAGAATAATCACTAACTTGGGAACAATTTCTAAGGACTAATGGAAATGGCAAACACAGGGAGGGAGCAGGAAGAGTGCTGTTACATCAGAGGGACTTGAACTAATGTCATGAGACAACATATATAAATTGTTGAAGGGAAAAATCATTATACTCCGTAAACTTGCATAAAAAATAAGATCATCCTAAATTGATCTTATTACCTTATTATCTTAGGATAAGTTGATTTTATCCCAACTTGACGGTCCAACTTGAGTATCAACTTTTAAAACAATTACCAGTTTTGAGAACCTATATAGTATGAGAGAGACTGTCTTAAAGTGAATAGGTCACTTGTACCTATAAAAAGACTTAGAAAGGATGATTTGTTTTTACCTTATTTTCGATATTTACAAATAGTCATCAGACCCTTTAAAATCTGTTTAAAAATGTGTTCTTGAAATATTAATGCATAAAATAAAGCTGGCTTCTCTTTACCAAGGCCATCCCTCACTAAAGCCGTTATGTGCTTTTGAGTTGGAACTGGCTCTTCGCTGACCCTCAGTGGCTTTTCACAGGCTGTAAATCACATGGCAGTAGGTTGTCCATCTTTCTCCCATAGAGCAATGGGTGGATCTGAACTGCCTGCCTTTGGGCTGGTAGTGTAACTCCTTACCTTAGACTGTAAACTTAGTTCTGGCTGGCATCAATACTGAGTAGATATATTATTTTTAAGCATTAATGGATATGGTTAAAATAATACTGGATCACCAGCTTTCAGGAGAAGTTGGGTCTATGTGCCTCATAATAGTCACCAAACATATAATTTCTAAACTGCTTATGAAGAAAAAGAACAATTGCTTTATAAAGGAAAAACACGCCTGTATTTGCTAACCTTTATTTATGGAGCCTTTTCTATGTCAAGTATATAGTATGTTCTCTCACATAATCTTCCTGAATTCCTTTGACATAGGGTCACTCATGGACAGACTTGCTGTAGATTTGGAAATGACTCACTGCTGGCCCTGCAGTGGGCATCCAAAGCTGTCACACCAGAAGAGACTGTCCCATCTTTCTCCCTCAGAGCTGCTGGTAGGTTTGAGCCGGCAGAGGCGCAGCCTTTGGGTGAGTTGGGCAGCTCTGTGGACGACACCCATCAGAGCTCCCTTTATGAGGTAGGCTGCTCCTTGGAGGCAAGGATTGTCAAGTTCCGTCTCACATACTTTGGGCATGTTGCTGTGAGGGTCCAGTCCTGGGAGAAGGGACATCCTGCTTGGAAGGATGGAGGGACAGTGCAGGAAAGGAGGAGCCCTGATGAGATGGAATGGCTCAGTGACTAGGGAGTACGTGTGTCAGAGCCAAAGAAATTAGCTCAAAATAGGGCAGAGTTCAGAGCTATTGTACATAGGGTCGTTGTGTGTTGCAGGCAACTTGATGGTACATAACATTGTGTAGCGCTGAGGTGGAACCTACTCAAAGCTAATTGTCCAGTGCATTTTCAGAGCCAGTTAAATGCACGGGAGGAGACTATCCATCTTTCTCATGCAGAGCAACTGGTGGTTGAAACTGTACATTTGCGTTCGCAGTCCAGCTCCTTACCGTTAAGCAAGCAGAGTTGTCTTTGACGTAAAGTAGTTGGGTTGTGTGCCAATGAGTTAGCTGACCCTCCAGCATGTTTTCAGAGGCAGTAAATCGCATGGGAGGAGACCGTCCATCCTTCTAAAGACGGGAGTAGGTGAGGTTGATAGGGCCTGAGTAACCTGCCTGTGGCCATGGAGTTAGGCAGGGGAAGCCAGAGCTCGATCATCCATAGCTGGATTCTCATCAGTAGGCCACACTGCAGGGAGATGGCGTTCGTTAAGTTAGGAAGCTACACTGTTGGTGGTGGGGTCTTTGAGTCCTTCCTGTCTCATAAGGAAGCCATGTGACAAAGCAGAACTGCCCCAGAGAGTTTTGTCCTAGGCTGTATGTAATCTTTACAGAAGCAGGTGCCCTGATGAGCCGCTGGTTGGGTTTGAACTGCCAACCTTTCCGTTACCAGTGGAGCACCATATGATGACTACAGATCTTTGAAAAGCCTTGTAGCGTCCAGGCATGAAAATAAACCACAACACCGGGGACAGACTACACAACACCGGGGACAGACTAGCGAATCATGATTCAGTTTAATTTTTATATTTATACATGTACATTTTTATATACATAGAGAAAAGTGCAGACAGACCATTATATAATCAAACAGTCACGGGAATGGCCATTTCATGACATGCAGAGGTCTCAATACTCTTATCCCTTGAAAGCCAGTGTTTGCATTCTCTCCTTGCATTCCTCCAGAATGTGCTACAGGGAGCAGCTCCAGCTCCTGATAAGGGCTGCCTCCAGCATCCTGCAAGCTGGACTTGTTCAGCAGGCCCAGCTGCTTCTGTTAAAGACAGACTTTGACACAATCTAAAGAGGTTTGTTTTGTTCTCCCTGTCTAGAAAAGATGTAGAATTTAAATTAGATGTTTTCAGAAACTCTCAGTGCTGTTTCTCCGAATTATTCCCTAATTTATTCTCCCTGGCAACTTCTGGACCAATTCACGTCAAAAGTCAGCAGTGGGATGCTGGCAAATGTTCAATGACTAGCCCTCCAAAGCCTGTTTCTGCAGGACTGACTTCAACCTCCTGTCACCCTTGAAGACAGAGAAACAGCCCCATACGGTTTCTAATACTGTAATCTTAATGGAGCAGACAGTTACGTCCTCCTCCTTGGAGCAGCTTGGTGGGCTAAAAAGGTTGAACGTTCAGAAATCAGCTGACCACCACCTAACCATCCCATCACCCGGGCTCCGGAGGGGAGGCGGGGAGGGAAGAACGACTTGCAATCTTGCCTATTTCTACGGGCTAAATACTCCCAGCTGATTTTAACCTACTAACATACCATGTAAGTAGCATGAAAGCGTAAGTCAAAACAAAACATAATAATTAGGAAGTGATGAGTTCTGGGTATGTGTCACCTTATTTTTAATATAATTTATCATTTTTAGTATCATAATATTATTTATCGCTTTGATTTTTAAAAATAGCTGTTCAACACCAGCTCTCAAAATGAAAATGCAGCAAACAGCTTTTAAAAGCGGGGGAGCTCTGGTGGCCTAGTGGTAAGGAGCTGCAACTACAATCCCAGAGGCGCACGGTTCGAATCCACCAGATGCTCTGCCAGGGAAGGAGGGACAATCTCCTCCTGTACCAGTCAGACCTAATTTGACGGTACACTCACACAAAAATAATAAAAAAAACTTTTTAAAAAAATAAAAAAAAAAAAGCTGGCACGTGTTCACCCCAGCTGAAATCAGTGCCCCGCAGATTGCACAGGTCCGACTTTTGATGCTTTAGAATATACATGAATGGCAATCCGCTTTAGGAGTCTTGGGACTTTGGACTATTAATAAGTAAAAAACAAATCTTTTGAGCATGCCTGGGAATAATCTGGGCTGCATTGGTCATTGAGCCTTACAATTTCAACTTCATTTCCAGGCTTCCAACTAGGAGTGATTGCAAACCCAGGGTGTGTGTGGTGCCCGGGTGAGACCGCAAGTAGAGGTCAGCATATGGCTGTCTTCCTTCTCAGGTGGGACAGTATCCTGGAAGCTCTTGTCAAGAGTCTGAGTCAGAAAAAGAGGAAGGCAACTTGAATAGCCAGCTAAATGCCTAACGATTTGCCTGGGAAAGACCCAGGCCTCTGGGCTCAATTTAACGTCTTCTACTCAATCAGTATTTAGTGGAGAGGATTTGAACAAAGTGGTCAGAGAGACGGCTTCCACCTCCTCCCTCAGTTTCAACGGCGTGGTCTGCGTTGGCGTTCAGGGCTGGACGTGTTCACGTGCCTTCCTCCCCCAGCTTCACCTCCCTCTGGTAGCACTCTGAAAACTCCATCCCAAATGATTTGTCGTGGGCAGGGGCTACAAAAAAAGAGGAACAGGTAGCATGTGTAAGCAGCACTGATTCATTGCAGCAATTGGTCATCCTGAGAGCTGAGCCAGGCCCTTTGTTTCCTAGGCTTCTCAACAAGCAGAGCGAAGCGTCAGGCACGCTGGACTGCATGAGCTGTTAGTGGAGGCAGTTTTGCTGAGATTCATGTCCAGAGCTTGGGGACTATTCATTTCCTTTTGCCTCTCATAAAAAAATAAAAAGACATTTAAAGAGTGGTGTTCGGTACCTTTGAGTCCATTCTGACTCACAGCGAGCCCCGTGACAAAGGAGAACTGCCCCATAGGGTTTGCTAGGCGGCCGTTTTCATAGGAGCATACAGATCCCCAAGGCTCCTTCCCCAATGGGCGAGTCTGAACCGCCAACCTTCTGGTTAGCCTCTGAGTACTGAGCTTTGTTGCACCCTCAGGGCTCCCTCGAAAATGTTGCTCATTTGCAATTTGGCAACTGTTGACTAACGGGTGTTTTAGCTTACATGGAGGAAGCTCTGATGGCATACTGGCAAGGAATTGCACTAATAACCTTAAGGCACACGGTTCTAATCCACTAGCTGCTCCATGGGAGAGAGATGGGCAATCTCCTCCTGTGGGAATTGTTGTTGTTGTTGTTACATGCCGTCCAGTCACCTGTGACGCATAGTGACCCTATGGACAATAACACTGAACCCTGCCCTGTCCTGAGCCAGTTTCACTCTGACACACCCAGTCCCACTGCCCCAGTTACCGTGTCAATCCTTCCCATCCAGGTCTTCCTCTGAAGACCCACTGAATGAGCTATGAGTCTGCCCTGACTTGATGGTCCACAACAACGGGCTTACGCGGTGGTGCTGGGGTTCGGGGCCAGACCACAACCAGTACTACCTCTCTTAGGGCTGCTCCGCTCTTGGGCTGTTTCTGTTTGGCTGGATGGTTTTTGTTTTAACCCATTTTTCTTTGGGACCTTGAAAACTGAGTGTTTCAAGTGTTAGTACGCCCACTCATTGGAAGGCAGGTTGGCGGATGCCTGCTCTTCAGTCTTTTCTAGAAAGGGGGGAGAGCTGTGTCTGGGCACGTTCTCTCGAGAGCGAACCGGGCACACGGCCGGCACAGCTGCTGGCCACTGCGCGCCCCAGGCGGAAGGGCAGGGAAGGGCTCAGGATCATGAAAATAGCTTTGGGACTCCCCCTGCCTGGGGTCCCCAGGAGACAGACTATTCTTAGGAGGTGTCTCTGCCCAGAAGGCACTTTTCTTGGTCATTTAGCCTGAAAGCCTTCTTTCTGAAAAATCGATTTGGACTGGAGTCAAAATCCTGAACGGCAGAGTGCTGGCCAGTTAGGCCACTGGGCCAAGGTCCAGCCAAGGAGGCCAGCTCTGCCTCTTCGTGCCCTGGCAGGGCTGGAAAGCATCTTGGCCTATGCCTCCGGGGCATGGTGGATACAGGAAGCCAAGTTCATGCCCCAAATTCACAATCGCCATCTCCCAGCACAAAACCATGAGTCAGGCTCCCACTCCCACCTGCCCTGAGAGCCCAGCCCAATCGCCTGGCGAAGCAGGAAGAGGAGGAAAGGAAGCTGGAGAAAAATCAACATTTCCTTGCATTTTCCTTGGAACAAAACAGCATTGGTGGCGTGCTAAGAGCCACAGAATTCCCCCCTCATCCCAGTTCTGTTTTCCTCCTCTTGTGGAGCAATGGACTCTTCCCCTTACCTGATGAGAGTCCAAGGTGCATCCTGTGGAAAAACAGGAGCAAGACATAGAAGGCAAACGCCAAGCAACCAAAGATCACGCCACAGACCAGGAAGCTGTAGCTGCCCTGAGCCTGGAATATCTGCCAGAGGGGAAAACACAGAGAGACGGGTGTTAAAACCTCCCATGAAGATGGATGGGAGGAAGCAGCCTTCTCCAGCCCCTGGCAGGCTTTTCAGTCAAGTTGAGGCCCATCACCCCAGGAGAGGGAAATGCGGATAGGAGGGATGGTTTGGCTGCATTTCAGGGCTGTGCTGCAGGAGGAGGCAGAAATCCTGCTCAAAAGGCAGGTGTGAACTCCGTGACCCTCTTCACCCAGGGTTCTAGACTCTTCTGAAAATCTTCCTCTCATCAGTGAAACTCCAACCACGTTAGGTGTTCCTTATACTTACAAAGCCTAACCAGACAATTGCAGAGGAGAAATACACATAAAATCTATCATGGAAATTTTTTAAAGTGCCAAAGTAGCATATGGCACTCCCAAGGACCCATCGCTCTACTTGTAATAGTTAGCAACACTTCCGGCCATCACCCTCACCCCCACCCTGCACTTGATTATGCAGAAGTCTCAGACAGTGCATTATTTCCATGCAGGGCACAGCATAAGGTGGGGCTTCCCACCCACGCCGTGGGGACAAGAGAGGGAGACAGCAGGCTCGGGTGGTGCTCAGGGGCATTCTGGAAGCGGGGAGAGACCCTGGTTGGAATGCCACCTCTGTCAGTCACTAGCAGCGTAACCGGCCTAGGACAAGTTGCTTAATGTTTCTGAGCAGTAGTATCTTCCACTACAAAAAGAATAACAACATCTCTGGTACACTGGTCAGTGGTGGCTCTCGTGTTGACTCCCCTCGCGCTCACCCCGTGTGTCAGGGCAGAGCTGTGCTTTACGTGATTCTCAATGACTGAATTTCAGAAGTCGATCACCAGGCCTTTCAGCCAAAGTGTCTGCTGGTGGACTTGACTATCCAGCCTTTTGGTTAAGAGCCAAGGATATTAACTATCTGCATCCCTCAGGGATTCTACATCTCTGTCAATCACATCCATGTTTTACTTGTTAACCCCACATAAAAGGACCAACATCAACTTTTTATGACCTTCCACCCTCACTCCTGACAAGTGAATTAATTTTGAGTATAGCAATCCTCCACTGAGTTTCCAAGGCGTAAACCTCTGAAGGAGCAGATTTATCATCTTTCTCCCTTGCAGTGGCTACTGGATTCAAACCACTGACCTTTCAGTTAGCAGCCCAACATGTAACCCAGTACACCCCCAGGGGCCCTTCTTCAACTATGACTGTACCCCTTTTATTCCTGGTGAACAAAGGAAACATGGGCGTGTCTGAAGAGAACTAGGGGTGCTGCAACTGGACCAAGGCAGGAGCTGAACAGGAAAGGTGGGCTCAGTGCAGGTGGCTGAGGGCTGTGAGGTGAGGCTGGGCATGGTAGGCTGAGAGGATGGGAAATGAACTCTGACTGCAGCCCCAGCCCTCCCTCGCATGGTCTTCGAGCCAAACAGCACTCCCCAGGCTCAGCTGGCTGCACGCCTGGACAGACCCCTGTGTGTGATGGCCTGAGCACTCATCCCCTCACTTCCCGGGGTCCCACAGGTGTCCTCTCAGCTCTCCATGCTGTCTCTGACCCGGTCCAAGGGACCACAGGCTTGGGGGGTGTGCCTGTTCCATGAGAGGTGCAGGAAGGGCCTGGTGGGGTTCAGAAGGTAGGTGCTGGCACCCTCTCACCTGCTCCAAGGTGTGCTCCCAACTGCCCCCACCTAGAGTTCCCACCTACCGAACCAACCAGCAGCTGGAGTGCCATCTCGCCGATCCCCGCCCCCGTCACCAGCACCGTGGTTGCACAGCCTGACAAAAAAGAAAGGGATTGGGCTTGAGGGAAGCAAGTTAAAGCCTACGGCCGTAGATTTGGTTAGCAGCCAAATGCTTTGATCACTTTGCCACCAAAACTCATCTGTTGTTATGCATCATTGAACTAACACATAGCTGATCCTCCAGAGGATTTTCAGAGGCAATAAATCACAAGGCAGGAGATTGCCCATCCTTCTCCTGTGATGCAGGTGGTAGATTCGAACCACATGCCTTTGGATTGGTAGCACGACTCCTTAACCACTAAGCCACCAGTGCTCAAACAACAAAATAATGTTGTTCAGTGCTATGAAGTCAACTATGACACACAGTAACCCTGTGAAGAACGGATCTGAACCTTGCCCTATCCTGCGCCACTGTCATGGTCTCTGTCGTGCTCGGGCCCACTGGTTCAATCACTGTGTCAACTCATCTTGTTGAGAGCGTTCCTCTCTTTCAGCGACCCTCTACCTTTTCATGCATTACACTGGTTAAGGAGCCATGCTGCCAACACAGAAAGAAGCTGTTCAAATCCACCAGTTGGTCTGTGGGAGAAAGATGATTACTCTCCCCTCTCGTGATTTTTCAGCCTCTAAATGTCCACTCGTGGGTCAGCTGTGAGTCGGCTCTGACTTGGTGATAATGAGAGGAGTGACAGTTCTCAGAGAGACAAGGCCTGAGGACAGAAGTCGGCTGTTTCTGGGCGAGCTCCAGACAACGGCCTGACTGCATAAGAGGACTATTTGGAGTCTTACAATTTCTCAGCCTTCAGCCCTTCATTTCGCTTTGGAAATGCTCAGGCCATACTGTCATTACGTTCCCTCCTTGTCCTGAAACCTTCAATTGCACACACCTGTTTTCAGGGTAAATCCCAAGTTGCTCGGTTGTGGTTGTCAGGTGCCGTGGAGCTGGCTCCCACCCCTGGTGGACCCTGTGTACAAGACCCTGCCTGATCCCGCACGCTCCTCGGACACTGCTGTGCGTGAGCCCACGGCTCCAGCCACTCCGTCAGTCCATCTGCTGTTCTGATGCTGACCCTCTCTTACCGAGCAGGATGGCTTTTTTCCAGGAACTCACCTCCTCCTGAGACCATGCCCAAAATAGATGAGACTGAGTCTCACGACCTTGCTTCTAAAGACCATTCTGGTTGCCTTCCTTCCAAGATATATTCGCTTGTTCTTGTAGTAGAATATTCACTTAGCCTAGTCCGATTTGGGCTTGAACTAAGCCTGGTTCAGAACTAAGCTTAGTTCAGGCCCTTCCCCATTTAATTATCACAAGCCTTTCCAGAAATATGTCCTGGCAAGTGTTAATCACCACAGCTGGGCAGGAAGACCTTCAGCTCCAGGACAGGAGACAGTGGCGGGAGGTGGGGGGAGTCTTCTGCTGTGGACAATATCCCAGTATCAGAGACAGTGCGATTGGCACTGGACAGAGCAGAGTTTGGGGCTGTTGTACGTAAGATCGCTATGAGTCGCAAGCGACTCAACGGCACATAACAACAACAACCCAGCATTGCATTGTTTGATCACCAGCCTCTGATGAGCCCAAGCTTTTGAGTCAGACTGGGGTTCTGGGCCCAGCTTTGTTACTTAGGCAAGTGTTCCAACTTCTCTAGGCCTTGGGGATCTTCTCTGTAAAACAGACATCGCAGCACCTGCTTCCCGGGGAGGTGTGGCAAGCCCTGGCTCTGGCATAATACCCGCAGACGGCTTATTAGCATAGTGCTGCTGCCATACTGAGTACCTTGAAAAGCAGGCCAGCTGTCTGCTCACGCCCTTTCCTAATGCCTTGAAGATAAACCCCACAGGCTTTCCCGTGGTCTGAGGGCCCTATGTACCACCGCTGAGAGTTCAGGGCCAGCTCTGCCTGCTCACCCCCTATCCTTGAGTAGATCCTCTGGTTCCCGCAAACACTCCCCGCAGGGCTGGAGCATGCTCACTCTCTCCATTCTGAATACTCCTCCTTTTTGTCTGGCAAAGCAGTGCTAGTTCAGGAGTCGCTGGAAACTCTGAAAGCCTATGAGGCGCTTCTTACTGTCCCACAGGGTCTCTGAGTCAGAATCAGCCCAGAGGCAGTGGGTTTGAGTGGGTTGGCGTAAACAGTAAATGTGTTCAGATGCTGACAGAAAGGTTAGAAGTTTGAGTCTGCCCAAAGAGCTTTGAGAGAAAGGCCAGGTGATCTACTGAAAATGCAGCCACTGAAAACCCTACAGGACAGTTGTATTCAGACTCACGTGGGAGGACTCAAAAGCTGGCATCATGAGTCAAGCTGATTGTTGTTAAGGGCCGTCTAGTCGAGTACAGTTCAGAGCGGCCCTGTGAACAGATCTGAACCCTGCCCTATCCTGTGTCATCCTCACAATCTCTGACACACTTGAGTGCATCACGGCAGTCGTGTCAATCCACCTGGGTGAAGGTCTTCTTCTCCTTCACTATTCCTCCACCTTTCCAAGCATGCTGCCCTTCTCCAAGGAACAGTCTCACCTAGAAACATGCCCAAAGTACATGAGATGAAGCTTCAGCATCCCTGCTTCTAAGGAGCACTCTGGCTGCATCTTCTCTAAGATGTGTCTGTTTTTTTTGGCAGTCCACAGGATATTCAGTATCTCTCCTCTAGCACCACAGCTCAAAGGCATCAATTCTTCTATCATTCATTGTCAAGCTCTCAAATGCATAACAGATGATTGAAAAGGGCATGATCTTAATCAGGCTCACCTTAGTCCTCAATCTAGTATCATTCCTCCTCTGTAATTTGGAGAGGACTAGATAGTAGCTATTTTGATATCCTTCCTTAGTCCTCAAACTTAGATTAGTTGGATTAGCTGCTCCTCCTCTGTGCTCCCTCAAGTCCTCACTTCCTCCTTGGCACTAACTCCACTGCCAGCCTTGTCCACAAGCCTAAGGCCATGAAAGGAAGACTAGGCTGGGACTTTTGGTTCACTGGTGTGCCCAGAGCTCCTCAGCACAGTGACACGTGGTCCATGGAGCAGACAGACACTGAACAAATTGACTAAAACAGTCATCATTCCCTTCTATTCTGGGCTTCAAGTTCCTTCCAGTCTTCATTATAATGATTTCTATCTCTGGCCTGTGTTCTCACACGATTCATTCGCTGCCCTCGTCCCACCCTGCAGCCTGGAATGCCTTTCCTGCTCCTTTCTGTCTTTCCAGATCCCAGGCCAGCTCACACACACCCAGGAACTCAGCCTTTCTGGAGGTGAGGCCCAGCTATCGATTGGCTGTTCTGAGCCCTCCTGGTAACTTTAATGTCCAGTCAGGGCTGAGCACCAACGGGCCAAGCAGATACAGAGAAACAGGCCATGGTGCTATTCAAGCAGTCTGGGCAGGTAAATGACCAGAAAGACCTAGACTCAGGAAGGGGCAGTGAGAAATGACGAGGATGGACTTGAAGGATGAGTTACAGACACAATCAAACATTATAACTTACCATTATGGTTGTTATTACAGTTTAATTGACAAAAGCTGGACTCTCTGTAAGGCTAGAGGTGGAAAATGCAAATATTTTCCACTAACAGTGACAGAAAAATGTCAAAGGTGGAAAAACTTTTGAGAGCTAGAAAAATAAGGCAGTTCTTGCTCTGCTGTTTAATGTTGTGTTGACCACATAAAACCCTGTGGGATATGCTGGGTTGTGGTAACACCAGTGGTGTTTCATTGTCCTACTTCCTTCCTTAAGGTGTGCAGCTGGGGGTGAGGACGGAATCTGGGTGCTTCCCCGCCCTGGGAGCCCACTGAATCTGCTCCTTCTTAGGACAGGGCATGTGAGACAGAGAGAGACGGTGACTCCTGGGTCACGTCCCGGGGCATCGAGTCCTTAGCGCAGAAGATGGATGAACAAGTGACATGATGAATGGATGGTGGTGACTACATCCACCCACTCATTCAGCCATCTTTCAACAGGGCCAGGCTGTGATTTGAGGATATTCCTGTATAATATTCCTGTATAAGAAAATACACTGGTGCTGAAACGAAAACACAAAATAAATTTGATTCCTTGATTCCTTTTTGTTGCATGAACTGCTTTCTCTTTTAAATGCTGTTATGTGCTGTCACGTTGGAAATGACTCGTAACTGACCCTTCAGCAAGTTTTCAGAGTCTGTGAATCACACGGGAAGAGACTGTCCATCTTTAATCTATGGAGTAGCTAGTAGATTTGAACTGCCTGCCTCTGGGACTACTAAGCCACAGAGCTCCACTCTTTTAAATAACAAATGTTGAAACAGTCTCTAGTAGGGCCTCACACAGGCAGATATGCAAGGGAACCTGTGAGAGCAAGAAAGTGAAGGACCTGACACAGTACAGCCTCACCACTTCTCTATCAGTCAGTTTAGTGGAAAATATTTGTGTTTTCTGCCTTCAGCAGGTCCCAGCATCTGAGAGTTTGACTGGATGTTTTTATGGATCCAGAAGAATACAAATAAAACAGCTAACAGGATAATTTTTACCTACTTTGGAGTGGTAGTTCTGAACACTTGTATTGTTTGAGGCCTTTGCAATAATAACACACCATTACTACAATTTTATTTAAAAGTTCCATTTTGAATTGTACAGTTTGGTGAGTGGATATGGCAGGAGGGAAGTCAATGGGAAAGATCCAGGTGAAAAGACAGGGTGATGATGGGCAAGGTCCAATGGTGGTTAATGTTATAAAATGTAATGCATGAGAATGATTGTATGAAACACAATGTCAATGGAGAATAGTGTGTGAAACACAATGTATATAAACTTTGCAAGCAAACCAATAAAAAAATTGCACATTCACTACAGAAAGCATCTGATTCTTACTAGCTGCTAGTGATATTATTTGGAGATTATGCTAAGATTTCAAGGACCCTGGCTCTCCCTGTCACTCATTATAGTGGATAAGTGAGGGGTCTCATTCTCCCCACACAGCTATTGCCCCTCTCCTCCTCTAAGAAAATACAATCCCTCGTTTTAATGCTAGTTTTCCAACACTCTAGAGCATCTCTACTTCTAAGGCTAATGCTAAATGTTCAAAACATAATTAATTTTAATTAACTCATTAAATAAAGATCTTTGCTACATGCCCTTGGAAGGCACAGGAGAGTGGAGAGGGGTTAGTGGTGAGAAGTAGGGTTTCTGACATCAAAGAGGCTATATCACAACCCCAAAGCAGGTGTGGAGTCACCACCCCCAACCCTCTAAGCTTCAAACATCTTCAACAACAAAGCAAGGAGGGAGGCTACTGATAAATGAATGATAATGTTCCCGGGCACCTTGGCTTTTCTTTTGAACTTGGCATTTGCAGGCTATGCGTAGTGCACAAAATGTTAGCTGGATGTCAATTAAACACATTGCCATGGTGTCAATTCCAACTCACTTCCCTTCTGTGGGAAAGGATTATTGTTGTTATTGTTGAGTACCAACGAGTCAGAAGCAGTTAATCCCAACAGGCAGAAACTGCCCATCCTTCTCCCAGGGAGCAGCTGGTGGATTCAAACAGTGTGTCTTGAGCATTGCAGCACAGCTCCTTACCACTAGGCCACCAGAGCTCCCAGTGGGAAAAGCTAGAGAGCTGCTTTTTAGTCTCTGAAATTACACCCTTTACAGAAACTGACTGGCTCATTGGTCTCTTACCAGAGCAGCTGGTGGATTTGAACTGCTGATGTTTTGCTTAGCAGTTTAAGGCTTTAACCACTGCAGTTATTACCCAGGAAAAGGGGCATGTACTTCAAGCCTCGTGTCACACTGATCCGAGCATAATTTTGAATAGAGGGACTTTGTGAGTCAGAACAAGTTCCAGCTGGGAGTCTGCTTCATCAAAGCCAGGAGGACAGCATCCATTTCTCCAAGAAGCTGGAGCTGGAAGGGGATGCTAGAACATTAGACAGATGGGGCACGGGGTGCGGAGCAGGAAGTGCCACTCTAGAACGCCCTTCTCTGGGTTCTCAGCCCCTCCACTCACCTTTGTAATGGAGAATGTCCTCAGTGTAAGCTAGCATGCTGGGGAAGGTGCTACTGAGGAACAGCCCCAGACTCGCTGTCCCCACAAACAGGAAGATGACGTTGTAGGGGAAAATGAGAAGCACCAGGAATGTCGCCACCACGCCAACCTGTCACAGCAGAAATAGGGGTTTAGCAATTTGGAAAATCAAGCACCCACTAGGCAAGAGGGAAGATCACATGCCAGAAAACACGAAAAGAAAGGTCTAATCCCGGGACGCTCACTGCTGAAGACCCATTGTGCCACCCAGCGGTCCGCACGGGAATTACAACTTCCTATTCTGGCATCTGTGAAGGAAGCCCAACAAAGTAAGGGAGCACAGCGAGGTGGGCGCACCAAGCTCTGCACACTGGCAGCCCCACACCCGTTCATTACGCATTTGGTGAGTCAAAACCGCCTGTCCTCCAAGGCCTGACTTGTAATTCCCTCCGCATCATCAGCTTTCTGCTCTGCTGCCTTGTCCTGCATGAGCCATCTCTTTTCCCTAAGAGCCTGAGCTCCCTAAGGAAAAGTGGAAAGAAAGCCCTTGGCCTGGGGGGGGGGGGGCGCCGCTGGCTGCGGTGTCTCCATCGCCTGGGTATCCAAGCAGATCTCACAGGCTGTGTCTGTCAGTGGCTATGGCAACCAGTGTGGCTTCCTGCAGCCTGCAGCTTCCGCTCGGATTCTCTTGGGCAGATTCTCATCTGTGGTTGGATTCAGTGGTTCTCCCCACAAAGATGTGGGCGTCGGCTTCTCTGAAAGAAGCCATGCGTGTAAACTCCCTGGGCACTTGTACTGTGTCCTGCAGGATCAGAATGAATCAGGATTGTCTCGACTGCAGTGCGTCTGATTAGGGTTTTTTAGAACCCTAGTGAGCTCTGGTAGCTTAGTGATGCAATCCCGAAGGCATGCGGTTCAAGGCCACTCTGGGGAAGCCAGGGTCAGCTATGGGTTGGTTCTGACTCTGTAATACACAACAGTGAGCACTTAAAGGAACCGTGGAGGCTTGGTGCTTTATGTGTTAGGTGGCAAACCTCAAAGCACTGGGGTCAGGGATGAGGCTGTCTCTTCTCACAAAAATTCATCCACTGAGAAGCCGGATGGAGGGTCCCAACGAGCCAGAATGACTTCATGCTAGTTGGTTTAATAATGACTTATATTCCAGTCAAGTTAGTTCTCACCTGGACTCCTCCAACACTCCTGCCAGGAAAATTCACTAGGGTTTATGCTTCTAGTTCCACCAGGGGTTCTGTTGTGTATTTTTATTAAAATAACCCCTATTACTTTCTCTCTCTTTTATTATTGTTGTAAAAATATAGATAACACGACATTTGCCAATTCAACATTTTTCACATGTACAATTCCGTGACACTTGTCACATCCATCATGTTGTGCAAACATTGCCAGTATCTGTTGCCAAATTTTCAGACACACACACTCAGGGCTTCCTATATAAAGATTTCCCACCTTCTTCCTCCTGTGCCTGGAAACCAACAAACATTAATCTCCATGCATGTCTGTTCTGGATATTTCATATTAGCTGGCTCTGTGACATAAATCAATCATGAAAAATAACCCAATTTCTGAGTTCTTAAGTAGGTCTTTACATCAATATGGTGTATTTTCCCCCCCTACAGCCCATCTGTGAAGTAACTATAGGTACCATGAGATTAGCGGTAAGACCCAGGCCTGAGACCCCACTTTGTTGTTTACCAGTATCTGTGAAAGCACCACTAATACTTGGTGGTGAAACCATGTAAATAATTAAGGAATTCTCTGTTCAATGTGAACTTGTAGACAAAATGTGTTGTTATTAGGTCCTGTTGAATCAACTACAACTCATATGACTCTACAAACAACAGATATGAACCCTGTCCTATCCTATGCCATCCTTGTAATTTCTGATGTACACGATGTCACTGTGTCAATACATCTTGTCGAGGGTCTTCTCCCTTTCACTGACTCCTGTCCCAGTATTTATGTAGAATTGTTGTTGTGTACCACAGAGTCAGAACCGACCCACAGCTGACCTTCCAGCGGGTTTTCAGACACCATTAATCGCATGGAAGGAGTTTTCCCATCCCCCCATGAAGCAGCTGGTGGTCTTGAACTGTGTGCCTTCAGGATTGCAATGCAGCCACTAGGCCACTAGAGCTCCCTATTAGGAGTCCTGAGGGTACAATGATTGAAGTTTTCAACTGCTAACTTAAAGGTTGATGGCTCTGCTCTGCCAGCTACTCTGGGTGAGTTATAAAGTCACTGTGCCTAATACACATGGTGGCTGGCTTCCTTCAGACTTTCTTCACTCTCAAATCAGATTTCCACTCATCCCTAGGCAGTCAGTCAGTCTAACAGCAGCTGGTCACATGACCAACCTAGAGGAGGAAGCCAAGGCTGACTACTGTCAATGTTCATACCCTCACTTTCTACTTCAAGGTCTCTGGAATTTGTTTTGGACTAAATTATATCCCTAAATTATTTGTGTTGTGATTCTGACTCCGATATCTACCTACTTAAGTATGACTCGTACCAACCCTGTGAACAACAGATCTGAACCCTGTCCTATCCTGTGCCATCCACACAATCTCTGACACACCAGAGCCCATTGTAGCAGACACTATCTCAATCCATGTGACTGAGAGTCTTCTACTCTTTCACCAACCCACCTTTCTAAGCATCGTCTTCCTCTCCAAGAA